ATTCCTGCTTCCATTATTACTTGCTATTTTGCCAACTCTTTTATTGTTTAGTTTCTCAATAGTTTGATAAACTATTAAACTTGGTCACAAATTCTTGACAAAATTTTTTTCTAAAAATGACAGAAATCGTATCTCCAACTTGAAAGACGTTCATCATTAAAAAATTGCTTTCAAAAATGTGTTTGCTAGTCATTTTTTAATCCAGCTAATGCACATCATCAATCATGCACACTGTTGTTGTATGGAACAAATTCAACAGTCTATCATCACACAGAATGAAATTACAGGGGCATACTCTAGAAGCTCACAAGGACAACATATCCAGTAAGATTCTTTCAAGAGCGTCTGCTGTTCTGCACACTTATTCAAAAGGAAGATACTAAGATATCTGTCTAGCTGTAGTCAGATGACTTCTAACAGGTTCTCCATAATTATCTGCAGAAGCAGTTTCAAAAACAAAGAAAAAAAAATATTATTGTGTTCCTGTGAACTTTGAAAGTACAAACTCAAAAACCTGTCTCCCCTCTTTTTGATAAAAATAGAACTGGATTTCATAACCTGAGTATCCTAGTAAGACAAAGAAACTGGGATGAAGGCACTGGTAGCAGCATCTTCAGTCTTCTGCAGACTTTCTTTAGAGGAGCTTGCTAAATAAATTTACAGCTTTTATTTGTCTTGGCAGAAATTTTCAGTACCAGAAAAGCTACACATCTTGTAGTCGCCTATTGCCATGAATATTTATATATGTACTATAATTAAACATACTTTGTCAGTCCCCTTTTCCAACTTCCTAAGAAACACAAGTGGTAGTAGTTCTTGTGCTTCTCACCAAGATAATGAACCACAGTCACCTCTGGTCTTCCATTGGCCTCTGGCTAGTAGCGACCTATTCAAATGTCAAAGTCTTAAAAATACATGGGCTCTTTTTCACTAACACCACGCTCATCATCACAGAAGGAACCTTAGTGAAAACAGGAGATTTTATGTACCGTCTAAGTTCTGCTTCTCTAAAGATATTTTGGCAGTATTCTCACCCAAGCTTCAGTTCCCTAGTGCAAAACAGGCAGAATTCTCCACAGTCTTTTGGGTAGCGGGAATGGGCTGGAGCATAAACCATGCTCCTCACCATTGACAGTCCCACACATTCCTGAGCTTAACTTTTTCCCTTGCCAGTTAGAATCATAGAATCATAGAACCATAGAATGTTTTGGGTTGGAAGGGACCTTAAAGATCATCTAGTTCCAACCCCCCCTGCTGCGGGCAGGGACACTCTCCACTAGACCACGTTGCCCAAAGCCTCATCAAGTTATTTCCTTAATCTCTTTGCTTTGCATTCAAGTAAGCCTATCATCTACAAAAAGAGTGGGTTTTTTTAAAAAATAAATGCTTTAAAAATGTAATTATATTAGCCTTTTAAAGTAAGCTAGATACCGTATCTTTAGAAGGAGCTCCTTCCAACTCTGACAGAAGGCAGATGGGTGAGAAAAAGCTCCCAGAAGACTGTCTTCAGAGAACAAGAATAAAGCTGTATTTCCTTGTCTAAAGAAATCACATCGATACACGATTTTTGCCTTTAAACACAAATGGCTTAAAGATCCTAAAAATCAGGACTTAAGAATTTCAATGGTATAGCAATTTCACAAATAATTTGCAAGGCAGAGCCTGCCAGTGATTCAGACATAGAACAGTCACTGTTGTGAAAGAGCCAAAGTAATCTAGAACTTGCCCTCTCCTCTCCAGCCTCAGCTTAGCACCTGCTAAAATCATGAACAGATCCTCCTGGAAGTTACGTTGAAGCACATGGAAGACAGGGAGGTGATTAGAGACAGTCAACATGGCTTCACCAAGGGCAAATTGTGCCTGACTAATCGAGTGGCCTTCTAAGATGGAGTGAATGCATCAATGAACAAGGGAAGACTTACAGATGTGATCTATCTGGGCTTCTAGAAGGCCTTTGATACAGTCCCTCACAACATTCTTACCTCTAAATTGGACAGATATGGGTTTGACGGATGCACTACTTGATGAGTAAGAAATTGGCTGGATGGCCATGACCAAAGAGTTACAGTCAACAGTTCAATGTCCAAATGGAAACCGATAACGAGTGGTGTCCCTCGAGGGTCCATACTGGGACTAGTACTACTTAATATCTTTATTAATGACAACCAGTGGGATTGAGTGCACCCTCAGTAAGTTTGTGGATGACACCAAGCTGAGTGCCGCAGCTGATACGCTTGAGGGAAGGGATGCCATCCAGAGGGACCTTGACAGGCTTGAGGAGTGGGCCCATGCAAACCTCACGAAGTTCAACAAGGTCAAGTGCAAGGTCGGGGCAATCTCCAGTATCAGTACAGACTGAGGGATGAATGGATTGAGAGCAGCCCTGTGGAGGACTTGGGGTTACTGGTGGACGAAACACTGGACATGAGCTAACAATGTGTGCTTGCAACCCAGAAAGCAAATCATATCCTCGGCTGCATCAAAAGGCCAGCAGGTTGAGTGAGGTGATTCTCCCCCTCTACTCCACTCTCGTGAGAACCCACCCAGTGTACTGTGTCCAACTCTGGGGTCCCCAGTACAAGAAAGACATGGAGCTGTTAGAGCAGGTCCAGAGGAGGGCCATGAAAACGGTCAGAGGGCTGGAGCACCTCTCCTATGATGACAGGCTGAGAGAGTTGGGCTTGTTCAGCCTGGAGAAGAGAAGGCTCTGGGGAGACCTTATTGTGGCCTTCCGGTATGTAAAGGAAGCTTATAAGAAATACGGAGAAAGATGTTTTACCAGGGCTTGCAGTGACAGGACAAGGGGCAACAGTTTTGAACAGAAAAACAGTAGGTTTAGGCTGGATATAAGGAAGAAATTGTTTACGATGAGGGCGGTGAGACACTGGAACAGGGTGCCCAGAGACGCTGTGGATGCCACCTCCCTGGAAGTGTCCAAGGCCAGGCTGGATGGGGCTTTGGGCAACCTGATGTAGTGGAAGATGTCCCTGCCCACGGCAGGGGTGTGGACTAGATGATCTCTGAAGATCCATTCCAACCCAAACCATTCTGTGATTCTAAAATTGCCCGGATTGGATTAGTTGCGTGACACGTACAACAGAAATTTAACTGACTTTTCAGATAAGGCTAAGTTTCTGGACACAACAGAAACAACTGGTAGAAAATGAACACTTTGCAGATAATTTGTTCAGCTAATCAGCTTGCTCCATTCAAACATATGTTAACCATGTTAAACATTTCAATGATATTTGACAGATTTTACAACTTAGTAGAGCTCACCAAAGCACATCTCTCTGATTAATGCAACAGCAAAAACCTAGTGAGTAGTGACTACATAAGGAAAAGTGTCTTATATAGCAAGACAAAAATAATAGTTCAGAAATGACCTATGTCCCTACAAAGTTAAAGAAACGTTATGGTTTATCACTCTACCAGCTTCTGATGCTGTTTAAAACCCAAAGACCAAAATAATTTTTAAAGTTAGACACTTAGGACCAAGGGAGAATCTTGCCCAAATCTTATCTTTTGGGAAGTATCTGTTTTCTTGTCACAAACTCTGAACTAAACAAAAATAATACACTCAAGATTAACACCAGTCTAATCAATTTCTTTTCCACTATGTAGGAAAAGATTTCTTTAATGACACTGGTAAGAACCACCACTACTCAAGTAAAACCAATGTCTGAAAATAACTTAAACACATATCCATACCACATTTAATCAGAACAGATCATGTTTCATGAAGTATTTAATATCTGATTAAGTTTCATTGATCACAGATTTTAAAAACTAATTGATAATTTCATCTCACCTGGCTGAAAATCTTGTGCCATTTGATGCAGAACCTGATGAAGATGTGACATATACACTGCTGATTGATCCCTGAGCCATTTCTGTAAAATGAACAACATGTATTTCAAGAATACTTCAAAACACACTCACATCTAGTTCAGTGCTTAATGCTAATGCTTAATCCTTTTAAAGTCCAGAAAAGGAGTCTTGAAACCAAAACAACCATACTGATGTACTATATCCAAACCAGCACAATTAAAAACCAAGAAGCTAGTGCAACAGCAAAATTTCAAAATACTTTGAAGTAAGCAAGTCAGATGTCTTCAGTATTCTTATATAATGAAAATGATAAACCAATATAAAATGAAGGCATGACCATGTTTGCACTTAATACCTTTTGCCTTTGCAGGTAAATCAACTATAAATACTGTCCTCTTAAAAAATTACACACTGCAACAATCTACTTATGTGGTATAACGTAAAATGTGGTTCTAGGAAGAGCAACAGCCCATTCTCTATGAATCTCTACGTTATTTGTTCCCTAAGTTACACTAAAAAGTATATATATTTGAGAACTTGTCAGAAATCTTCACCACAAACCAGTGGAAATTAACTGATCTTAGATATTTTCATGTTTTTTTCCTTGATTCTTGTATTAAGGAGGAAAACAAACTCTTACTGGAGTAACTAACCTGTCACATACGGTTCCAGAGCTTTAGGAACCAAACTCCTTGCAATTTTTAGGTCCTCTGCTGAACAGCTTCCAGATTCTAGCCCGCAAGCCATTCCCATTCGTTTTAGTACTTCTATATCATCATGAATTTCAAAAGTATTGTCAAAATTAAATAGATATTCAAACCTGGAGAGGAAAAATGTCTCAATTAGCTTCAATTACTTTAACTACCTTTCCAGTTTCAGGAATTGCAGCATTTTAAAAACTTAACACATAATGTTAGTGACACATTACATTAAGCAATCCAATTTTTCAAAATTTATGTACTTGATAGCAAGCAACCAAACCTGCAACTATACATACTATTCAAATCATTAACAGGTTTAACAGATACAGTTTTAATTAAACATTTTGCATGTTTGATATTTGTTTCTTTAATCCCATTCCTCCATGGCTACTGTGCAATTTTTTAAATGTTTTTAAGCTTTTCTAGTAAGTTAATAGTGCAAACAGAAACTACTGCTACATTCAGGTTTTGTTTAGCAGATGAAAACCCTAGCTTTTTGAGCAAAAAGTAGAGAACAGCAGTTCTGAAAGCAAAATCCATTTTTAGTTCTGCAGGCTACAATTCATCATGTTAAAGCCAAAGAAAAACACTACTTGGTAAAGTACGGTATCAAACTTCAGCAGAGCTGCATTACTTTGCTTCTAACATCTCTAGACAGTAAGTCTTAAAGATGTTATTAAATGTGAACACAATTACTCTATTAGAAAACTCTATAAAACTCTGTTTCTATTCAACATGAGTAAGTTTTACCTGTCCGAAGTGCATGTTCTCAATCTACAGAAGGCACAAGTAAATTTATTTGTATTTCATTTTTAACAAATCCAGATGAACACTTTAGGATGGACGTAAAAACGCCTATTTGTACCAAAAGCCAGATAGAAAACTTTGTTAACTCACTTGTCATTTGAAATACTGCAGTCAATCACTGTCTTTTTGCTGGTGTTCACAATGATAAATGGCAAATGGATGACAGAATTGGAAGGTGGTGGTCGATTTGCCTGTTGTTCTGCTTGACGATTTCGCTGAACGAGGTTCTTGAAGGCAATTTGCTAGAAAAAGCAATAGTGATATGAAAGTATGAATTAAACCTTCAAGATACTGTTAATGAAAAAATCCCTCAGATAAAGAATTCCAGCAATGGCTGCAGCAAGTAAATGCAGAAAAGGACAGAGAGTGTTCACCATATTCCTGCATATTAAGACGCAAGAGGAGATACAAATGGTAGTATGGAAAATACAACACAGTAAAACTTCACTGAGGAAGAAAAATGCACGTTCTAATAAGTACATCAGGACAGATCCTTGACAGAATGAAGAGTTAGCAATGACTGGAAAAATGAATTTTCATATAGCATTCTACTTCCACTCTGTTTACTATTCCCTGCTAGCTACTACACTCAACAAGAACAGCTGAATGACTAATACTGTATTTTTGCTGAAATTATATGCTAAAAACCAGTGAACATTTGGGATTTGAATGTCTGACATTAAGTTTCAGAATTCCTCAACTAAGATTAGTGACGTTACTCTCACATCTTACCTAAAAACTGCTTTTCAGAATGGAATGTTCGTATTTTAAAGATTACCAATTTTAAGAACTAAAAACTCAAGTTGACTATTAAAACTCAAGTTATAAATCTTACAGTAGGGCAACAAACTAAGAAGAAGTATTTTTCTGGTCATGGAATCAAATTAAATAAGCAGGAATTAAAAAAAAAAAATCCAAAGCCAACAGAGAGGCTGATAAAAATCAGACAGCTGTTGAGATTGCTGTCCCACAGCTGTCTGTACTTTCTTTCTGCGTGCTCTCCCTGAGGTTCTCATTCCCACTGCGTAGGTAATGCAACTACTAAGGGATACATTCTGGTGAACCAGCAGCCCAGTGACTTAAGGGACAGACTACTGCTTCCCCCAGTATAGTACGGGAAATCTGGGAAGGAGTTCAGCAACTGTTTCACAGCAGTTAAGCCACTTACATAGCAGGGGCAGCAACGTCCAAGCAAGACGAGACACAGAGCATTATGAGAGATGACCTCTATAGTCACATAATTATCTATGGACTCTAACACAGGAAAACATTCTAGATACAAGAACTTAATTGGAAAATTCAGAGGGTACAGTATGAATTACAGTTTCTGTCAACATAAATCCTATTTAAACATATTTGAAACTGCAAAAGAATTGATCATAACTCATGGAAAGTTGCTGGCTTCCCCAATAGCAATGGTCCCAGCTAAACTACAGTGCTAAATTAAAACTATACACCTTATCCTGAAGTTCACCTCTAGTCTTCTGTCCTGGTTTCAGTAGGGATAGAGTTAACTCTTTTCCTAGCAGCTGGTATAGTGCTGTGTTTTGGATTTAGGATGAGAATAATGTTGATAACATACTGATGTTTTTAGTTGTTGCCAAGCAGTCAAGGACTTTTCAGCTTATCATACTGCCCTGCCAAGGAGAAGGTGGGCGGTGCCCGAGAAACTGGGAGGTGACCCAGCCAGGACAGCTGACCCAAACTGGCCAAAGGGATATTCCATACCATGTGGCATCACGCTCCGTATATAACTGGGGATGACCAGGAGGCAGGGCAGTGTGGGAACTAGCTGAGCATCAACTTCAGATAGTGAGCAATTGTGCTGTGCATCACTTGTTTTGTATATTCCTTTATCATCATTATTATTATCATCATCTTCCCCTTCTGTCCTATTAAACTGCCTTTATCTCAACCCATGAGTCCTACTTTATTTTTTCTTTCTGATTCTCTCCTCAATCCCACTGCGATGGGAGGAGCGAGCAAATGGCTACGTGATTGTTCTAGCTGCTGTCCAGGTTAAACCACAACATCTTCGTATAAGTTTCCCATCCCTCACTGGGATAAAACAACAGGAATATAGATATAAGTTACCTTGCCCTATAGACAAGAGTACCTTGACTGTACCTGTAGAATGAGTTCTTGTAGTTGAGACTGTTTTTGCTTTATTCTTTCAAGTCTTCTCTGTTTCTCCACCTTAAGACAGAAAAAGGATTAGTTAGTTTGTTGTTTATATCAACATTTTCTCCCCTTAAAATCATTTCAATACCAGAAAACTGGAGCTAGGATGTATCATGTCAATCATTAAGGTTCTGCAGATAATTTAGAGATCTAACTATCAAGACTCACATCAGTAGTACTGACGGAAACTGTAACAAAGAGCAGAATTAGAACACTGGGGAATAAAGTACAATGTATCAGAGAGAGGGTGAAAACATCTTTGCAAACAGAAGTTATGCCTCAAAGAATTATCCAAATTCTCTCAAGGAGGCAAACAACATGTAGACCAGAAGGATCCACTTGATGTCATCTACTGATATTGGAGGTATAGGAGAAGATCCATCAAAGATGCATAAAGAAATGAAGCTCCTATGGAACCAAAGGTTAAGTCTCTACAGTATTAAATACACACTAAATAATAAAAGAAAGGAGACACAATGGTAAGAAATAAACTGCTTTCCCAGTGGAGGAAGCTCACCAGCAGATTACCACAAGGACTAAATTTACAGACTGTTATTCAAATTACAGAGGCTCAGAATAAGGGGATGAACAGCAAGGTGACAGAATCTGCTGACAACACCAGGCTACGTGGCGCAGTAAAAAAAGAACTTGTCACAAAGCACACTCCAAGTGTCTTGTAGCATGAGTGATTACATCATCAAAATTAATTTTGATTTGAAATAAAATGACATTCAGTAGAGATCATAAATTACAGTATCTACAAAAACATCAGCTCAGTACACCACAGCAGCCAAAAATTTGAATTATCAGGAAAGGAACAGAAAACAAAACAGAAATTATTACTACATCAGTGTATGAACCCAGAATCTTTAAATGTTGAATTCCTTAGGTCTAGTGTTAATATTTCAAACAGACCATACAAAAGAGCAATCAGGATAAGCAATGGTACAGAACAGATTCCATACAAGGGAACAGTAAATAAAATAGGGCTCTACAGAAACAACAATGAAATAATGAGGGAGAACATGGGAGATATTTATAAAACCATGAATAAGATTGAGAAAGTGATAAGGAATGACTGGGTCACCATCGCTTCCAATGGAAAAAAAATAAAAATCAGAGGATATCAACTAAATATATATAGTACGTTCAAAAATAAACAAAAGGTATTTCATAAGCAGCTCCTAATGCACCTGAACCTCACTGCCACAAAAGACTCAATGCTAAAAGCAAACTTTATACGAAGTCAAAATTTGTGGAAGAAAAATTAATTGAGGGCTATCAAATAGAAGGATACTCTGTCTGCCTCAGGTTATGCCTGAACCACATGTTACAGGAGGAAACACCACTAAATACTTTCTCTAATCTTATACTTCTTCCAAGGTAACTGCTACTGTTAGGCAAGATACTGGATAGACAGACCACTGGCCCAAACATCCACTTAGGTCCTTAAAACATACAACTAACAAGAAAATGACTGGGGATAAAAATTCACATGAATGCAGTTTTCTGTTCAGTTTTGGTGGAAAAAACCCAGATGTGTACACAGTTGAAAAATCTGCAAAAAGGCATGGTATTATATTAAAAAAAAAAAAGTAGAACCAGGTCTTATAATTTACCATTAGAAAATAAGACAAATAACCCCCTCCCCCCAAAAAACTTACCACAGCTCACTGTGGGATGATAAATATTTAAATCAAACTCAGACTGACTAGATACCCTAGACTTTCTTCATCTAAATAGCAATTACAGTACTAACTGAAAAATCAATTATCAGTATCAAAAATCTCCAAGTCCACCACTAAACCGTGTCTGTAAGCACCACATCTACGGGTCTTTTAAATACCTCCGGGGATGGTGACTCGGTCACTTCCCTGGGC